TTTTTTTTTTTTTGAAACGCAGTGCAAATGAACTGTTTGTGTCCATCACGTCATCGTCGGTGGCTTGTCTGCTTTTGACAGAGGTCGGATTTTAATGATGCCACCGCTGTTGTTGTTATTATTGTCATCATTGTTGTTGTTGTCGTCGTTGTTTGCGAGGGTTGTTTTTCAAAACGGCAGTTACTTACGCAACGGCTGACTTGGGCTTTATTTCTTCTCTGCTTTTGCAACCCTCGGCTCTTTCATATGTTAAGCGTTTATCGTTGTCTTTTTAGTGTGCTTCAGGAATTCGTCGGTTAGCAAGAAACTGAAGCTCATTTCAATATTTATTACGCCTTCTTCTTAAGGAAGGATTTGGAGTCGTCCCTGTGGAATTGCTCTCTGCATCTTTTCAAGCACCTTAATAACGATAAAAGGAAAGTCGCCTCATATTTGCCTGTATAGAGATCTTTTTGAAGCAGTCTGCCACTTCACTGCGGAACACGAGTTTACCAGTTGTTTTCTTCGAGTTGTTTGATAAAGTAATAATACCACGAAAAAAAACCTTTTTTCTTTCAGTAGTTCAAAACTTTTTACTTTATAGCTTCATCTCCGTCCGTAATTTTTCACCATTGGATACTGGGTTTTTCGTTTTTGGGTCCTTTCTTTCATGTAATTTTATCGGAGATGTGTCGTTCGCTCATCTACGAATCAAAAGTTCCGAGCAACTTCCCACCACTGTATAAAGCTTTAATTGTTTAACTTACTGTATTTAAATTATATGTTGGCGTTATGGTTCCTTTGACAGCTTGTTGATATTTTTAAAACAACATTTATGTGCAAAAGTTGTTTACGTCTTTTTGTTGCGCTTTGAAGGGGCATTCCTTGCTAGCATGAAACGATGACATCATTTATGAATGCAAAGATCACAGTTACAAGTAAACAAATTCGGAATGCGGCTAAGCAGTGGAAATAAATTCTGCGTCAGTGCATTGTATTGTAGATGTCAGGAACTGGCTTTACTTATTCCGTGCGCGATTTCTGACTCAATTTTTCAGAGTTTATTTGCAGGTAATTTATCCCTATTTCTTTTCCGTTGTATCTGAATATTCGTGTTCTTCTCAACTGAATAATATACTTGTCTTTACTGGCTTGGTAGTTATCGTGCTTTTTTTTCGGTTCTTAATTGGAGCTACAAGTAACTGAGAGTTGATTTGCTGAGCACTGTCGTGGCTTTTATTTTTTTTATAATTGGTCGGCTCACACGGTACTTTTGTTATTGGAGTTATATCTCCTCTCTCAAATTTTCGAATATTTTATCGGATGTGGTCTTTGGAATAGGTTTTTTTTTTTGTGTAGTATAACAGACGAAACTCGAAATTCAAAAATTTTATCAAAGATGTGTGCTTTGCACACCTGTCAATTGAAACTTCTAGCTTGGTAGTTGGCGATGTTATAGATAGTTTTTGAAATCCAAAACTACTTCTCAGTGTTCACCTTGTTTAAGCGGTTGGCCACTTTAACTGAAGCATTCGGGGTTTTATAAGTTCAAGTTCTGAAAGTTGTTCGCTCATTTATTTCAGTTTTTATTTCTGGGGTAAGCACGGTAGAAAGCTCGAAATAAAGTTACATGATATATCTGAGTCAGCATCGCTTCCGAGCAAAATTCGTTGTGGTTTCTTAAAATTTGTTCCAAAACTCAACAGATGCAGTTTTTACTTCAAAACTGCATTTGAACATTGTTTAGAAAATTTGCATCGTTAAGTTTCCGCAACTCTATCACGGGATCCAACTGCAACAATTTTTTGAGAATTTTCGTTTTGAATTACGCTTGTAGACGTGGTTTCTGTTTTTGAACTTTGCTTATCATTTTTAAGTTCTGCTCCGAACCGTAAATGACCGCTGAAGAAACGCCGAAGGTTGAGAATTGTGACATTGGACTGAAACAGTCCGTTATCGGAAATTCGACTGTCGCATCGTCAACAAGTGGTGTCACTGATCACCTAGAAGAGAATACTGGTTACGTCAAGCCCAACTCGGGTCCGACAGTAGCTGAAAATCCACGCCACATGAGTCTGGGTTCTAGTTTTCCAACCATTGTCTACCAGTTGCGGTCCTTGCAGTTGATTGCCTTGCTTGTACAGGTAATGATTATTTATTTGATATCCTGCATGTAAAGTTTACTGGAATTGTCCAGTTGCGGTGGAATATTTATTAAGTTCTATTACAAAATCACTGCGATTTTAGGGATGACAATTTTTTTTTCTATTTTTACTATAGAGCTGTGGAATCTAAACTGGACAACTACTGAGTTCCTGAACAGAACAATTGTCCAGGAATAAATGAGGATTCTTTTCTATTTCTGCGCATATTCGGCTTTAATTCCGTTATTTGGAGTATAATTGTTAGAACTTGGTCGCAACATTTTTTTTTAAATTCGAAGATCATACTTGCAATTAAGCTTGAACGACCTGACTTTTAGACTACTGTACTCAAATGCATATACAAAGTGTTTTAAGTATGAGCTATGACAGAAGGAAGTGTAGGGATTCAAATACTACATAAAACTAGAATTGGAGGCATTCCGCAAGCTGTTTTAGACATCACATGAACTGTTTGTGAGTATGGCAATACAAAATGGATCTTGGAAAAACCGCTTGTTTTGTTATTGTTCCTCTTGTAGTGGTTAAGTCCTTTGCAAATTCTAATTGGTAAAATAATAGGAATGGTTGGAAAAACTGAAGAAAGTTGAACACATTCTCGAATTTGCAGATATGTGTTTTATACATGGAATCGGATAGAATGGGACTCAGCGCCGCTGTCCCTCTCGGAATTCATCTTTTAAATTTTTATCATACAGGCAGACGGCTGTATCTGAACATTGACGGCCGTTTTGATTTGCAGCAGATATACACAGTTGCCGATCCTATGCTGAAAGCCAGATATGCTTATGGTTAGTAGTTTTTTGGTTTTTTTTTTTATTTTCTGTCTTCTGCTTCGAGTAGTATTTGAGATTCTTCACTGCAAATAAAAAACCAGTAAAATTACATTTGATGAGGTTTCAGCAGTTTTCGGCAGCTTGTTCTACTCACTTCTGGGATTTTTCGTTATTGGGACTATACCATCAACGGTCAGTTCGGTGCTTTACACGGTTTCGAAGTTTGCTGTAGTCCTTGCCAGTTTCCTTGTCGTTCTCGCTGAGGTTTATGAGGTTGTTATGATGAAGCTGGGACAGAGGACGAAGCCTTCATCTAAGCAATTTTAAAATGATGTATATACCACGTAAAAATTTTGAAGGGAATTGTTGTTACGAAATTATTAATGTGAAACTGTTTCGCTAACTGTTTTTGTACAGATCAGCACGATACTCATGACAGCTTTTGCACTATGTAAACTTCATAATCATTCATATCCATCTTAAGTCTAATTAAAATATGCTTTTATGCATGTACTTAACAATACCTAAATGGATAAACTGATGTCATTGTGTAGCTGTTGCTTAGTTCACTTGAAAAAACTGCAAGTTTGTGAAGATGGTTACATGACATTACATAAAGGTAACGAACGGAAAGATTGAGTCATGGTTGGCTGTTTTTTGCGAACAGTCAGCCAGGAATCTGTGATACTTCCAGTTCGAGTAAGATCTTGTTAATGACTTATCTAGAATATTGCTTTACAAGTCCTCCCGAGGGCCTACAGAGGAGGGGGGTGGCGCATTCCGGACCCACTGTTTAGCATCCTCTGTTATATCCAGTTTAACGTCGAAATGGAAAGTCAGTGAGACTACAATTCGTACAATATCAATGACTGTTCTAGGCTTCACTATAATGAATAATAGTTCATGGGAGACAGGGGAGTAGGGAAGACCCTCGAAAGTTGTTACTCTAGTCCTAAGCACTGCTTACCTGTCTGTTGTTAAAAGGCTAGTAACAAACTACACGGCTTTACGGTAGGTTCCTACGACTGGTCAAAGCAACAGTTAGTGGTTTAATAGCCAATCAGCGGCCGGTGTTATGTTGCAGGCTTTTTACAGTATGCTATCAAAAGCATTGTTCCAAATGCCTTTTACCTGCCTGCAGCTGAAGTTTGCATGAAGAAATTTTGCAGCGTTATGATAGATTTTAGGGCTTAGCTAGGAGTACTATTGGAGGTTTAACAATCGATCAGCCATTGGTTTTACAGTGTAAATCTTACGTAGCGTGTGCCGTAGGCGTCATTCCGGCCGCCTTTTACCAGCTTGTAATTAGAATAATGCAGGTGAAACACTGGTTTTGCAGTGCATTTCAAGGCTTAGTCAGGAATCAGTTTTTTGCCAAACAATTGGTTGTTGGTGCTATGTGGAAGATTTTGTCTTATACCATTACAGAGTGACGTTTTTCCGACCGCTTTTATCTGTATGCCATTGGAAGGTTCGTGATGAATCTCTGCAGTGATAGTTATGGAGCTTTTAGGGCTCTGGTAGCCAATAAGTTGGTCGCTTTTTACCTGTTCGTGGTTAAAGTGCTTCTGGCGACACCCCACAGTACAATAAATATTTTAGTCATTGAGACTGTAGGGAAGTGATAAAAAAAACTATACTTTTTGTTACAAAATGTATATTTTGAACTGAACTCTACGCGGAATTGAAATAACAATGTTTGTCGGTTAGGTACTGTAACGAATAATTTTCGCTGTATTTTTTGTTCCCCCCTCATTGAGGAGAGAATGAGTGGTAAAAAGATCAATGGACTGCATTTTATTAATATATTTTGATGGCAGATTAGGAGAAAAATGTTGTTGAGAGTCGAACCACGTGTCGATGATATTTGTAGACTCACTATGCATTAGAATCATGAGCCTCTTTTATGGTTTTCAAAAACACTTTTGGCCTGATTTTAGTTTCTAGCCGTCTATTTCATCTAATATTGGGAAGACTAATAATCATTCTACTACTGACAATGATAGCTGTATTTGGTATAAGTTCGACAACTGACTTGTGCAGATGAGCATGGAGAAGAAAGTTGCGTTATTTTTATATACCTTTAGTGTGTTTTTCAAAATTGGTGTTATCTGTTGAAAAGATTTATATGGTTTTTATGCTTTCTTAATTTCCCAGTTTACTTTGAGTTCAATTACTTTTTTAAGCGAAGGTTAGATAAATTTCTTGTTTTTGGCTAGCTGGTTACAGGTCTTTTTAAACTTATTTTTTATAAGCTATTCAAAGTTAAATTTGGCTTTCAGGATAACGACATAGCAGAAGTCTAATTTGTACGTACAAAGTACTACATCTTACGGAATAAAAGTTATTGGACAGAAATTTCGTTCTTGAACACAGCACCGGAAAAAAGTTACCTTTTATTCAAGTGATTAGGGTCTACAACTTTGCTTCTCTGAACAGTACACAATTCTTCAGCTACCAGGAAATATTCTAAAAGAGAGCGTGATACTTCTGACGTTGAAACTACTATATGAGAAAGCCTGTTACGTAGTTTAATTGTATATTCGTTTGGGATTTAATAGTTTCGTTGTATTTTTTATCATATTAGTCACTTTTGTTTTACTCTTATGAAATTGTTGAAACCTTCTGTTTCGATTTGTTTAAATAAACAAGTAATTGAAAAGTTATGCGAATATTACTGTTCAATTTAATCTAGAAACGTTTAAAGCCTTTCCTGGGTGGCTGGAGCTGAAGAAACAGTTAGAAAGATTTTCCACTTTTTTGTTGAAGATATCAGCAGTTGTTTTTTCAGAAGCCTTCAAAATAAAAAGATGTAATACAAACGAACATGCAACTGGTTAGAGAATTAAAGTTTTGTCTCAATACAACGATCTATTTAGTAATGGAGGCGATAGATGTTTATCGGTCTACTTGGGATGCTCACTGGTCAAACAGCTTTATAAACTGTGAACACATTTATACTTGTGATAAGGACACTTCAGACAGTGTAAAAATGACGGTCATTTGACACTTGTAGGCTACATAAAGAACCAGGTGATTGCTGCTTCAAGACTAACATGGATTTCAAGTAAAATTCAAAGAAATGTAGCAAGTTACTTATTTTCTATACCACTTCTATTGAGCCGAATAACTTCAGAGCTACTAGTCTACTTATTGAATTTATAAGGACTTTCTGTTGCATAAAGTGGAGGAAATATTTCACGTTTCTCAGAGGCAAGATGGTTTTGGTGTAGTGAAAGTAATATGTGCTAGTTCGTAAAACATGAATTCTAATATATTTTACACAAAATTTCTAGAAATGTAGTGCTCTAGGCAAAAGAGAAAGATTAGACTCATTTGTTAAAAATAACAAGTACAGCACTACAAAGATTATCACAGTCTGACTGTTCTTTTAATGTCGGCTAAAAAAGTGTTATAAAGGTGATTTTGCATTGAATTAGGTTACTGCAGAATGTTTCTAAAACGAACTAATGAGGTGAAAACTTCAGAAGTCAAGTGTTGTTTGTTAAAGGAAAAGTCAGTAGTCAACGAAGAGAAAAAAACCACTAAGAATTCTAAAACAAAAGACTTTGCTTCATCTTTTGTGCATTCAGCATCTGAAATTGTTTAACGCTCGAATTGGCGTAACCGGCAGTTTTAGTGAAGTCTTCTATTCATCTACTTAAGTTCGAAGAGAGTTTTGTAGGAGAACAAGAACCTGCACATTGATTTTGAGACTTTTAAAAAGAGAGGATAAAGAAGTATTTTTTTATTTTAACTGTTTGTTGGAATTGTATAGTCCAAAAAAACTGTGATATTGTAACCATCTTCGTTTTATTTTCTCTTTATTTTTTGTTTTCTCTTTTTTTTTTGTGGTGCTATATTAGTTGTTATTCAGACTGTTAGTATTCTAAAAATACTGAATTCACTGAGCGTGCACGAGACAAAGTTTTTTTTTTTATTTTTTGTTTTGTTTTGTTTTTATTTTCTTACAACGCTGCTAATTAGAAGAAGAAAGAAGTTTTTAGTTTTGAATGAAAGGATAAGAAGTAAAAAAGATTTAAGAGCTTGTTAGTGAGAAGGATAAAAAAATTAAGAAAATCGAAAACAACAATGTTGAATCCGAATCTGTTGGTGTCAGATAAGGCAACAAAAACTTTCTTCAAATTAGTCTAATCATCAAGAACGGCAATAGCAACAGAATAGGAGGGCCTGTCTCGTTGTCCACTGCTGATCTTTATATAATATTTGGCTCTGTCACACAATCAAAATTTCTTCCACAATATATTCAAATTTTTTTCCTGCATCTCAATTTAGTTTAGCGTTTTATTCTACTGAATTTCAATGCTTTATTCAGAGGGCATTTGGCTTTTTTTTTTTTTTTTTTGAAAATGTCACTAGGATTGCACTAATGCATATCAAAAGCGTCTTGAGATTGCAGCTCCGTTTCGCAGTTAACAAATAACTTCATTAGGTTTTTGCTGTTAAACAAATGAACCGATTTTCATCTTCTCGTTTTTTTTACTTGTTTGCCGATAATTTATTTAGTCTCTAAGAATAGCTACAGAACAGATGAGACAATGTATCATTATATGTTTAGTAACAGGTATTTTTATGATCAATGACTGCTTGTTTCACGATTAATTTTTGTTCTAGCACACACTTCTTGTTGTATAAATTGTTGGTTTTCTGCAAAAATTATCCTAGTCTTAGTAATATGCAGGATGGTTTTATAGAATGATATTCTAAGCAGAATTGTTATTTCAAACGAATTTTTCACCTGCTAATTGGTAAGATAGGTCTCAAATGAGACAGAATTTTCATGACTAAATTGTACTTTGATTTCTCTTCACTTGCTATTCTGCAGCAGAATATACTTTTAAAATTTTAGAAAACTGAAACTGAGAAACACGGCCGATGTTGACTATTTTGATTCTGAACGGTAAACGGCTGTAAGGGCAGAAAAAACAAAACAAAAAAAGCGAAAAAATTTACGGATATAAGAAGAAATTATTTACAAGTTGCAGTAAATGCAATGAATATTGGTTCGCTCGAATGATTATTTTAATTCACTAAACATCTTTGCATTTATGCCA